TGGAGGGCGGAGGGCGCCGCGATAAGGGTTAATCCTTATCAACCCTCTCGCGAAACACGAGACCTGGCGGTCTTTTTCACGCGTGACCGGTCGCTTACTTGAACACACGCGTTCCGTTGCGAAAAGTGATACATATGTGTGTGTCCAATTTGACATTTACTTTTCGAGGTTTCTGCGAAAACTTTTGACATATACCACGGGATCGTTAACGATACGAACTTCTCGAGAACAATTTAAATTGCGCGCGTACTCTTTTTATTTTTCTTCTTTTTTTTTTTCTCGCGTTTTTTTCCCCCTGCATTTCCGATTTCCCTCAGCCGCCATATTTGATAGTAGATTTTTCAAGTGAAAACTGTGAAATTCCATCCCCTCCATCGCAGATTGCGGCAAGCTCGTAAAGGCCTGGGATTTGTCGCGAGAGGGGGTTGGCAAATAACTCACCCCCCGGGGTTGAATCGCGAATTTCCGCGAGATTCGAAAAGGCTGCGGTTTCCCTGCAGCGGCATAGCGGACCGCGATACCGACGTCGGTAACGTAGGTAACGTCGTTACGGCGGGTCACTGTAAGCGTCAAGCAGTGGTGTGTGTCTGTGGGGGTGGGTGCGCATTGGTGTACACCCTTGGTGCGCGGCCGAGCATGGGTGCGCGTATGCGTGTGTGTGTTGTAAACGCGCTACGGTCGGCTCTATACGTTTTACGATGCTTTTAGTGGTCGCTCTTAAATAAACATCGAGATTGCCGGTCCACGGGGGGAGGGTCGGGGGCAAAGAGGGAGCCGGGAACATCGGTTGGGGCAGCGAGATGCACGGAGGGCAAAAAGCACACGCCACGTGTGCTAAACAAGATACTTTTCAATTAACTGGATGCGAGAGTGCCCCCGCTAAAGAAACTAATTTTCCTGGTGTAAACAACGGGACCCTGCGCTACCCTGAAATACACATCGCGGGGGTGGCCCGAAGCAAAAATGCGCGGAAATATCTTATCTCGTTAATTAAATTTTTACCATTAACACGGTCTGCAGAGTTAACGCAGGGGGTGCAGCAGAGAATTGCAGGAAGCCTTAATTTGCATCCCTTATTAAATAATAAAATTAAAACGCCGTTAAGAGGTGCCTTGAGGACGTCAGGCGGGGAGTAGGAAGTCGGAGGTTAATCGATTCTTGGCTCGATTTGACTTACGAATCCTCGTCCTGTGGGGGAGGGGGCTCTCAAAGGATTCGCGGATCCCGAGTCGACCTAATAAACTCGAGCCTAATGCGGTTCAACCTAATAAAGCGAAATTAGCCGTATTAGACGTCGGATTGGAGCGGTATCGCGGGGTGTCCCTCCGCCCCTAATACGAGAGCGAATGCAAATTGGGGATGATAACTCCCTCTCTCTCTCTCTTCTCCCCTCTATTTCTCGCTCGCGACCGGAAACTTGGGAGGCGATTTCCAGGGTGGCTCGACGAGGGTGGAGGTGGTCCAGGGTGGAATGTTCAAGCCAATACCCGATGTCGGTCCGACTTGGACACCTTCTATAGGAACCCTTTTCGAACCGGGCTCTATGGGTTGCGGTCGATCCGCGGTTTATTAAAACGCCCGCGAAAAGGCGGAAAAGGCACCCCAAGAGGCGGAAAGGAGTCGGTTACGGGGGGAGGGGGGCTCAAAAGGGGAGGTTTCAATCCGCGTGCGGAGGAAACGCTCCGTCGAGCGCGAATCGTCGCTCCGCTGGAGGTTTTCGGCGAGGATCCACGTCTCCTGGTGTCCCGCGGTGCGTTTTAACCAGAAAACGCGGATCCACCCTTAAAGGAACCCCCGCAAAGGGGCGGCTCGATTGAAAGTCGAAGGATCCCCGAGAAATAAAAATATCCTCCGCGAGCAGTTCCTCTCTCTACGTTTCCAATTTTCTGGGATTTCGAATTCTACGGTGATGTCGCTAAAAAAGGCTAATAAGCTACATTCAGTCCCGGATTATTTACGGTACACTAAAATCATAATGCACATGCTTTTTAACCATACCAGCTGCAGTGAGAAAAAAAATGTTTTCTTTTTATAGGCTTCACTCAAAAAAGCCAAATGTCTAACTCCGATGCATTTCATTGATCGAACGGTTCATATCGTAACATAATGAAGTAAGAAATTATATGTTTCATTTATTCAACTCCGTTCAAAGAAATAATTTCCTAGAAAAAAAGTGGAATTTGTTTATTCAGACATTTTCTTTTTTTTCTCCAATGAAATTATTCCAATACACGGCCTTGTATCTCCTTATACTAATTCCTGGTCGAAACGTTCATAGCTTAAACTCGAATAGTCTCGTCGGAAATCTTCATGCAATTTGGTATCTGAAATTCCATGAAATTCGGCAGATATTTATATCAGAGCGTTCAATGTGTCATGAAACTCCGTGGAACGTACGGTGACTTTTAACAATGCCTGTCATCGGTTCCGAAAAAATTGGAAGCGTGCCTTGATTTAGACTTCGGCAGAGATTTCGGGAATATCGAGCGGTTCATTCGGGAGAAAATATCGGGAGGATGAAAAAGTGCGTTATGGGCAACATTGCGCAGGGGGAGGCGCGGGGTGGTCGCGAGTTCGCGGTGGATTTCGCGGAATGCAAACCACCCCCCGAAAAGGGTGAAGGGTGGCAGCATATCGCTATAGGATGCCGCGTGCACGAGATAGTTTGTCACGGGCGAGTACTCGCTAAGTATGCTGGACCATTTGTCTCCGATCTTCCGGTCTCCCTTCCAGCCTCCGCAAACGGATCTTCCCGAGGGTTTGCACAAGACTCACCCGCCTCCCGCCACCCCCTCGCGACCTGGGGCTAAGATCCTGTTTCTCACCTCGTAACCAGACCCTCATCCACCTTCTCTAAGCCCTAAAGGCTAAGACAAAAGGTGGCAAACTTCCTACACCTCATTACACGATATACATCAGGTTGTCCAGGAATTCATTGTTCCTTTTCTTTTTCCCTGTACAGGACTCCCTGCTTCGCTTTTAAATATAGTGGAATGTCCACGTGGCATATTATTCTGAAATGCAGTCTTCAACCTTGATGACGAGAATTGAATTATAATTGCCAATGCCTCACATACGGCGGTAAAGTCCATAATTTAGTCATTTAACCCTCTGAGTGAGGAGGCTGTTCGACATATGGGCGAAATTCCTGAATGCGTGCAGGCGATATTCGACCAAATGTCGGACGTCTTTAGGAGTGTTTAGTAGTCAAGGGGGTAAAGACCATCGACGAAAGACGTCTCTAAAAACGAGACCCCTCGTTCATTAAGAGGTTAAAATATTTTTTTACCGTTCATTGTCGTGCCTTTTGGGAAAGTCAAGCGTCCCAGTGGATCCTTCCGCGTCGCTCTCAAGGGAGTCCCTTTCGCCTCGGTTCGAGGGCGCCTCCCTTCCATCATCCCGGCGTTAATCGGCCTACTCAGGGAGGAGAGGGTGGGTACGCAAGTGCGGGGTCGCGGGTAATAAAAGCCAACAAGGTGCAGGGGAGGCCCTCGGCAGATAACTGGGACAGCGTGTTTATGCCTTGTAAATCCCCGGCCGGGGTTATCGTCCACCCTCGAGGCTTCCCGGTCTTTTCTTCCCCGGAGTCCTCGAGTCACCTCCGGGGGCGGTTTCCGATCGCCTCCGACCTCGGTCACGCGAGTTGGCCATTAAAATTCGATCCGATGGTCCGACTCGCTCCCGGCCGAATTCTTTGACGTGGCTCGCATAAATTTCACCCGATTACGCGGCCGGCCGACCTCGAGGGCGACCTTAATCGAGGATGTGGCCACAAGGGGTGGCCGGAAGTCGACTCGACCATGGTGGTGGTCATCGGGTCGCGGTCGTTCCGGGTTTGTCCGGAAACTTCCGCGAGCTCGTACGTGCATGCATTTACATGCGGCGCCTAGCCGCCCCCTGGACCATTCTCCGCCCCAGTCTTTGCACCCCCCAGTGGGTGGTGGGTGGGTGGGGGAGGCATACGTGGCAAAGAGGCCGGTGGAAAGTGCCCACGTAACTCGCGTCGAGGGACCGACGGGGACTCTACAAACTTTGGATAAGGATCCTGCCGGCACCCACGGGGTGTCGATGGTGATTCGTTAGATCTTAACCAGGTACGTGACGATGAATTAATTCCCGTTTTTGGGGCTGCTGAACTCTAATTGCGCGGCGTTTCCCGAGTACCCGGGGATCTTTACTGTACCCATACGATATTCAATTTTTCACATTCTCGTTTCTACAAACTTATTCCTTCTGATACTTCCATGCTCTCGATCGACGTATTCTATTAATAATTTAAAGCGATGTGAAAATGCGCTCAAAGAGGTCTCGTTTATGAAACATCTCCGAACTGAGTGTACCGAATGTCTATTTTCAAAATTTTTCTCTAAAAAATGAAATTTTGCGAGTGTCAGAACCTACCTTTGAATCTCCTCGTTCGTGTGATAAAATTTGAAACAAATCAGTGCACCCAATTTAGAGAATAGATTCACATCACCTTAAGGGCGACGGACTTCAATTAAGTGGAGTTCCTTCAAGTATCAATGGGCTTATTACACCTACAACCCGACCAGATCATGTTCGAGCATTTTTATCGACCCCTTGCGTGGCTGCGCTCTGGCATCCGACATGATTAATATTTAAATATTTGAATAATAACTTTCAAATAGGGGGAGGATTTACTACGAGGATATGGTATCCAGGCGAGATTGGAAGGGGTGGTTTTCACAGTAACCGAAGCAAGCTGCATATACACCCTCCCGATATTGAAGCAACGACCCGCGCACACGGGGACAAGAGGGTGCACGAGAGCTGCAGAAGCGATTCTTTCGCGAGGTCGGGAAAGCTCGTCAAATGCGCCCCGGTAATGGAATCGCGAGCGCAAGCTCGGGCGATTCTTCCTTTTCTACTTCGTTATCCCGGAATACCCGCGCAAAGGGGTAGGTCAGGGAAGGCGATTTCGGCGTATCACAACGCGCGGGCGGTGGGTGGTGGGTGGAAATTCTTGCATGCAAGCTCACCTGCTTGTCGCGAGCTGAAAGCGTCGGCACTTCCAGCGACGATCAGAAGCAGCAACGGGCTTAACGAGGCTGCCAGGGAAGGCGGCATCTTTCTGGTGCACCTATCGCGCCTGCGCGACCTCCTCTTTAGCCCACTCCCCTCATCACACCTCCTCTGAAACAAGTGACAAAAGTCCACGTCAACTCGGCCTCCCGTAAAGGGGGGTCAAAGCGCATCAGAATTGGCACAAAGTCGCGAGCCGGTAATTGCAGACAGTACACCGAGGGAGGAGACTCACTTCCCAGAAAAAAAAAAAAAGGAACAAGTGAAACTCCCGGGCGACGTGAAACTTCTATATTTCGGACGAGAGGTATAGAATTAAGCCTTTCTTTTTCAGACATTTCATTTAATTTACAGGGGATGCTTTATCGTTATCACGTGTCTTCACGCGTGTAAGCGTTTCCACTTCATGTTGTGAATGAAGAATCGAGAGAAAAAAAAAAATTCCGTCCAGTGCTCTACCCGAAATATAACTTCATTTACATTCCCAATACTTGCGACCAATTTTCTGCATAAATTTCAACTCGCAAATTGATTCCCATTTAACGTGAACTTGCCATCATTTCGGTTGCCCCTTACAAAATCAAATTTGCCGGAGCCAGGAAATTTGGCAAGAGACAATATCAATTGCCGTAGGTAATTAATTTCAGGCCGCCTGGGAACAACGAAGAGGATTCCATTTTTAAAATACCAAATTCTAGAAAAATCAGGAAAATGCCCTCGGGTTAAATATTCGGGGTATCCCGATAAGTGATATCGGGAAATGCCGATCGATCGCGCCGGTTTGTAGTTCTGGGTTACGCGAGGAATCTCGCGTTTGATTGCCAGGGAAAAACAAAAAAAAACAAAAAAAAAGAGAGAAGAAAAATCGCCATAGAATTTGCCATGCCGGACCGCTATGGAACTCGGCATTGTTTACGGGCTCGCGGCAGCATGAAATCGATATAATTAACACCGTTCGGATTCCATAGACGTCCATACCGGCAAATTTAACACCCGATTTTGCGGCCGGCCGGAAATATCACTGTAAAAATACCCCCCCGGGGGGAGGGGGTCGGCTACAATTTAACCAGGTCGCCCTCTGCGCCGTGCATTTGCCGCCACATATTTGCTCCAACTGCAGCTGGATAAATCACCTCACCCGACCAGTTGCACGCAGGGTTGGGGGTCCGTACACGCTTTCGCGATTTGCAGTTCGGGCAGGTTGAATAAGAAAGCCGGAATTCCAGTTTTGAGGGGGATTTTTTATTCAGCAGGGTGAATGGATCCCCTTTGATCTTCCAGGACGAGGATATGCAGCGCGGGACTCGGAAAGGACAAAGAGAGTTGTCCCTCCTTCCCCTCCACTCTGTGGCGATGTCGTAAATGAAGAGATTTGAAAGAAGAAAAATAAAAGAAGAGCCTGCTTGATAATTGTCGGCACGCGTATGCCTGCGGGGTCTTAATATTTTGGGGTTAAATCATAAATGGGAGTATGTCGTATGTCTTGAAAATGGGAGAGAGGATTGAAGGGTTCACCGTTCCAAGGGATTTTAGACAAGGGTTCGCGTACCAAGCCAATGAGTCGTTGTTTATCAAATGTGTACTTTAGAAGCATAAAAATAAGAAATTGTAGGTTATGTGCGAAACAAAGGGAAGCTTCATGGCAGGATGCACGTATATCACGTTGAGTAGGTCCATTTCCCGTCAGATGTGTTTCTTTTTTCCCCCGCCCGGCATTGTAATTCGCAATTCCGCAGATTGTCGGCGATGACGGGGGCATCCGGGCCCCTCCGCGTTAGGTTTCCATTATGCTAAACCGCAAATGGAGTCCGCGATCGAGTGTCCGGACGGGGCACAATGGCCGAGGCCGGTAAGGTGTAACGTTACCCCAGAAATGAAATTCGCCCTCGTCCCTCGTTCAGGCGACGCAAACGAGCTTAGGCCGGACGCGGGGGAGGAAGAAGAGGAGGACGAAGAGGGGTGAAGAGTCCTCAAAAAGGAGGAAGGCCGACCTCCGGTCGACACCTCGGTCCACTTCGGGTACTTATCCCCGCGGCCATCTCGCATACGAGGGTGCTTTTCCATGGAATCTCTCGTCCGAGGTGCGACCACGGCCCGTGAAAAATGGCGGACCATATCGACTGTCCTATACTGAGAAGAAAATTTCCTCGATTCAAAGAAAATCATTTCCTTGAACAATGCTCATTTACATCCAATGGGTTTTGGTAGAAAGAAAATAATTACCCCGAAGAAATATTTATTTTTCATACAAAAAAAATAAAATAAAATAATATGACATGTTTTCTCAGTGTAGGGATCGAAGCACGTCCTGCGAAATCGAAGGAAGTTCGGATTTATTCGAAAATTATCAGTGTATTAATGCGACATGGGATACGTGCAAAATGAGCATTGTCCTATTTTCCTGGAGAACCAGCCGCCCGATTCCCACTGTCGAACCGGAAGAGGCCTCCGCTGGACAGGAAACTCTAAAAGAAGTTTAATGGACGATTCGGACACCATCTCGGCCAACTTCTCGGCTAAAGTGCCTCGATAAGTCGGCCGAAGTTGCCGACAGTCCGAGACGTGGCTGCAGCCGTTCTCCAAAATGGCCGCCGTGACGCCTCCGGTAGCTCTCAAGAAAACCCGACTCTCTTTTTCCCTCTCTGAGTGCGAGAGTATCCTGCGTGGTCGCGAATTTGTTTTCTTCGCGAGATTATTCCGAGAAAGCAGTACCTCGGGGAAGTATCCGGTACTTCCGGAAATCCTCTCGCAGCTGCTTTTCGAATAATCGGCTAGAGCCACGGAGGCATGGAAATGCGCCGGAAATAAAAATCCGATCTCACAAACCCTCTTTCTGGGAATCGCGGAGAAGTCTGTTTAAAAAATGAAGAGTTCGGAGAAATTCCTCTTGGATATCGGAGTCTTCTTGTGGGACATTTCTGGGGTGAAGGGAGGTTACATTGTTTTTCTGCCTGCCGGCTTGATCGAACCGATCGGCCATTGCAAAGTCGTTCTGAGGTTTAATAAACGGCTCTGGAAAACTCGTCGACTCGATAAGGTTGGGGAAAAGTTGGTATCTCGACGTCGGTTACACGGTCCATGGGCGTCCACGTTCCGCGGTCATTCTTCGTTTCCAAGATGGCCGCCATGACGCTTCCTAACTCTTTCAAGAATACATATCTCGAGAGTATTCCGTATAGTCGGGAATTTGTTTCTTTGCGAGATTACACAGGAAAAATATTCGATATTTTCGAAAGCCCTCCCACAGGAGGTTTTCGTCTAATCGGCTAGAGCGACGGAGTCATGAAAATACGCCGGAAGTAAAAGTCCGACCTCGAAAGACCTCTTTTCTGGAAATCGCGGATAAATCTATTTAATAAAACAGGAGTTTTTAGAAATTCTCCTTGATATGAGAGTTTTCTTCCGGGGCACTTCTGAAACGAAGTGAGGTTAGATTGCTTTCCTTCCTGTCGGTTTGGTCGGAGCGATCGGCCATTGTTGTAAAGTCGTTCCGAGGTTTAACGAACTGCTCTCGGAGAACTCGTCGACTCGATAAGGTTGAGGAAAAGTTGGTATCTCGACGTCGGTTACACGGTCCGTGGGCGTCCACAGTCCGCGGTCGTTCTCCAAAATGGCGGACGCTACAGCGTCTGGTACCCTTGAGCCACTCGAGCTACTTCCGGCAACTCGAGTTACGAGCCCGGTTCTAGATGGTCGGGCTTTTATTCCTGGCGAGATTACCCGAAGAAAGTACCCGAGAAGAGTATTCCAACTGTGAGGCACCCCCCCCCCGGAAAGACATCCACCCCTCGAGCGAAGAATCGACTTTACATGGCCAATGTAAACCTCGACAACGCGGAAACCTCGAGGGCATTTGATGTACCTACAGCTCTTTCCGACTGAGGTTAGATTTTACGGGAGAGGGTTAAAAGGGCTAACTACACCTACGCGGAATTACGTGCTGGGCGAGTACACCGCGCCCTTGTTATAATGAATGTAGAAATTAGGTTCGGGTACAAGTGTCGGTAAAATTTATCTGCACTTAGGGTATGTACGATCTTACCGCCTCAACGTGGATTTACCGGGAACCCCGTCAACCCCGTAAACCTCGTATCAGTAATTTCCCCTTAAATCGCCGGGGCGCGTAACGACGCGTCGAGGAAAACACCCCTTCGCGTCGCAATTGTTTCCGCTGCCAAAGTATTCATCGAGCACAAAAGTGCCCACCCCTTATCTGCATACATTACGACCCCGCTGCGGCCCCTCCGCAAGCGGAGTGCAGGCTAGCACTTTGGAAAATTGACGGGAGGAATTGTCCTCAATTTTCCTCCGAAAATGGGGAAATGGGGGCATAAAGTGTCTCGCGGAATCGCGCCGGCACGCGAGGCGGCACTTTTTCCCGCGCGTGCTTGCCGCAAGACACCTTTGCGTGTGCGCTTTCCGCAAGGCGGAACAGCGCGTGTGCTTTTTGCACGAAGTACCCACGACGGGATTTCCGCTAGTCAGCCGCAAATGTCGTTTCCTGAAGATCTAACAGGGGCGTTTTCCGCAAAATTTAGCCGTTTCTGCGATTTCTGCAGAACGCAACCGCCTGTTTATTCCGCAAGATGTAATCGCGGGTACCTTTTCCGTCGGATATCTCCACGAGAAGGTTTTCGAACGCAACCGCGGGGGCGTTTTCCACGAGACGCGGCCGCAGGTGCGTTTTCCGCGGGGCATTTCCAAGGGGTGGTTTCGCGAGTGCGCGTCGAAGAATTAGGAAGTTGCGGAACTGTATCGAGTTTTCGGGGCCGGGAAACGCGGATGCGGACGCAGAGGGATCCGTGGAATTGAATTTCCTCGATCATGCAGCGAGAGAGAAGGAGACTGGCAGAGAGAGAGAGGAAGAGGAAGCCGGAATTGCGGAGAAGTGTCGGAGCGCCGCGGAATTCGTTTCGCGTAGCTGCACGCGGCCGAAACTTCGTCGGCGAGCTCATGCTCGAACAACATCGACACGGCAAGTGACATAACGTTGACAACGCCTGCTGCAATTCCCCCAATTACGGCCTAAACCAATTGCGCCATAA